TAATGAATCTAGGAACAATGAAACACATTAATAAACTCTTTTTTGCATATTATTAACATTGTATCAGTTCGTTTAATTAGGATCTACAGGTCGTCAGTTCGTCAGTTATGTATCAACACAGTGTTTATCCTTTAATTTTTTCGTGTGATAATATAAAAATTTGAAAACAGAATTTGTTTACTACTCAACATTTCTTGAGTAGACTATCCTTACGGCATAGTCAGTTCAATATTTTATTTTTCTCTGGGAATGTTGACTTTCCATAATGTGAATCCGTCAAAGTTATTTATTAAAAAAGTTAATTTGTTCTTATACTAACTTAGAATTTCCTGCATCTAATTGCCATTAAACTTTATAGGATGAATAAATATTATATATCTTTACACAAAACTTTCATATTTAAAGTTTTATATTTACATTGGGAACATAGTATATGGATTTGCGAAGCTAATCAAGGAATTAATTAAAAGATCAATTTGTGAATATGAACAGCAGCTTATAGAACATAATAAGAATGATGAATTAGATATTTTGAAAAGTATAGTGTTTGATTTTATCAAAGTTCTAGAGCATTCTTCTTTTTTTCTGATAGGATATAAACGATATTGGGAGCTTTTGAGAGGAGCATACAATGATAATTTTAATAAAATTGCTAAAGAGAAGAATACGAAGAACGTAGTAGAGAATTTATGGATTTTTATACGAAAAGTTTAGATGTGAAATAGTGGCGGAAATAGAAAAAGAACATGGAATAAACAAAAAAGATCTTAGGACGAAGAGGAAAAAAACGAAATAGATGGGGATGATGAGGCGAATAAAGAAAAATTAGGAAAAAATGGAAAAACATATGAAAACGAAAAAAATCAAAAAAATCTAGCTAAAAAAATTAAATTAGTAACGAAAGATCGTTTAATAGGTAAGATAACTGATGGCGTTGCGATAAAAAAGACTTGGCATACTTTAACAAAATTGTTTATTTTAGTTTCATGGATATCTTAATTTAGGATAGTATTTTATATATTTATCAATTTTAGTAGACTAGATCACTTTAGTTATAGAGAGTATTGTAATTATATTTTCTAGGTGTTTAAATATTTTGTAATTGATTTTTATATTACTAAATTAATAAATGCGTTACTAATTTTTTTTAAAAAAACAAAGTTTTATATTTACTTTTAAAAATCTTTTAGTTAACGAATTCTTTAACGAATATTTTTGGCCGTTTAACTAGTATATTGAGTTTCATATTTTCTAATGGCTAATGACGCCCCATATGATCATGATTTTGTTTAATACCAATTTCAACATTTTCTACAAATAATTTTAGAGGTCTAATACATATTTTAAATATTCAACACCATAATGTTTATAATTAAAAGAGCCATTGCTTTCGTATATATAATAGGAGTAGTATTCAATGAACCTATAAAAATTTTCATTTTTTTATTAACAGTTAATTCATAATATTAAAATAAACAGGTTAATAAATACTGTACGTGTAGGCTTATGTTTTGATTTTTTTAATGCAATCCTTTGTGCAAACAATAATTATTTATATACGCATTATTTTTTTTTATTTTATTTTTTATGCAAATTTGAGAGGCCCAAATATATAAATTAACGATTTATGACATAACAGATAAATATTTTATAATTAAAAAAGAGCACTGTCAGTTTTTTTTTATAGATTTTACGGATTTTAAATATTTATAAATTAAATATAATTGGGCTAGTATTTATTTAATGAATATATATTTATAAATATATTTTTGCTTATTTTTTACATTTTTCAATAATATAATGAAATTGATGAGCAATATAATCGAATTAAATAGATGTTGAACTTGGTGGTCCGGTACGTGATAGCGTAAGTAATCAGAGACTGCAGGTTCTTGGTTCAGTTACACAATACATCAAGTTCAGCTACTATTTAAAGTTTTGAATTTTTTAAGAAATACTATCATCATATGTGTGAAGAATAATTATATATTTGGTATACAATAATTTATTTATTTATTTTTTACGCAAAATTCGTCTATTCCCAACACTTAGTTATGGAACAGTCACTCAAACTTAAAACTTTATTTTTACATTAATCCGTGTGGAAATATCTTTATATCAAAGTTTTATAATTAACTTTAGACACTAATTTTTTTTTTAGCTAATAAAATGTATTTTGACTATTTTAACTACTATACCAAATTTCAAGCTAATAGTCTTGTTTTATCAGTATATAATGAGACGAACGATAAATGATAATTTTTATAATTAAAATTTTTTCTGCCAATCGTTATGTTTTTTCAAAATTTCACGATTTTGAGTATTAAATTAAATAGTATAATTAATTAGTTAATATACGATTTAATGAATCTAGGAATTATAATAAACTTTTTTTTTTTGCATATTATTTAACATTGTATCAATTCGTTTAATTAGATCTGCAGGTCTGGCCAGTTATGCACCGACACTGGGATAGAAGTGTTTATCCTTTGATCTTTTCGTGATATAATTTGAAAACAGAATTTGTTTACTACCCAATATTTCTTAAGTAGACTATCCTTATACCATAGTCAGTTCAAAATTTTATTTTCCTCTGGTTGGAATGTTGACTTTCATAATGTGAATCCGTCAAAGTTTATTTATTAAAAAAGTTAATTTGTTCCTACAACTTAAGTATAATAGAATTTCCCGCATTTAGCAGACGTACTGTAATTTTTGTTATTGCATGTACGATGCATCATCTAATATTCTAATTGCCATCAATTTTGTGTAGGATGAATAAATATAATATATCTTCACGCAAAATTTTCATACTAAAGTTTTAATAATTACTTTTAGCAATTTGTAAAAAAAAACTTAATATTTTGATGAATATTTCAGCTTCTTATATTATAAACATTATTATTTACGAAATAACTGAAATCGTTTACATTACATATTTACGCCTCTCAAATTAATAAAAAAACGTTGAAAATGAGTATGATTGTGATCATGTGAGACATCATTAGCTATTAGAAAATTTGTGAACTTTGAATTTTTTTTTGTGTATTTTTTGTCGTTATTAAACAACATCGTTATTATAAAATAATAGTACGAAGTGAAAAATATATATTTTTTTTTTATTCTGTCAACTGCAGATTGAATAAAAATTAAATATGATTGTTTAGAATACGATTCAAAATTTTTACTGAATCAGAAAGGGTTTAAAAAAGCATTTATTTACGATTAAATACCGCGTGACCTAGATGAAATCCTTTGTAACGTAAGTAATCGGAATACTGCAGGTCCTGGGTTCAGTTACTGATTTCCGCTAGGTCACAACGTATTTATTTTCCTCAATGCACAACTACTAATTAATAAAACCTAGTAATAATCACATTATAAAACCTATATTTTAGAATTTTACATATATTCTATTGCTAGCACGATACACTTAGAACTCTAACATAAGTTTCCTTTCCCTCATATTATACGTAGCATATTAAATTATTATACATTTATACTCTAATTTGTTTATTCCTTGTTAACAATGTTAACATAAGAACTTTGTTGTTTATCATTCCTTTAATAATATCGTGCCATATATACATACAGTATTGGTTTGGATAAATTTTTAGCATTAAGTTTATATTCTTTAATGGATAGTCTCACCATTTTGATTGATATTGTGAGTAATATTATATTATGTATTTCTTCTGTTGACAAAGTTTATAATTAAAAAGAATGTATTTTGGTTTTGTCAACTATTTTTTTCGGGTTCCTTATTTTGAATATTAAATAAAATATGATTAGTTAGTATACGATTACGGCTAAAATAAATATAAATAAATATATATATAATTTAGTAATATATAATTTTTTTTTTTTAAAATAAGTATTTTGTACTGAATAAATTGGTAATACAGAGTCCTGCGATACAGTAAATAAAGAATTAAAAAAGATCAACTGTCGAATAAACACGAACTGTCCTAGTGGTTCGCCCCTCATGACCAGAATCGGTAGGTTCTTGGTTCAATTACGACACTAGGATAGTAGTGTTTATATTTTAATTTTTTTTATCATTCTTGCGTAATTAAAACATTTTTTTACTTTTATATGTAGATTCCTAAACGGATTATTCTTATGACAATCATTTAAACTTAAACTTTATTTATTCGCTAAGTTGGAATGTTTGTTTTATTGACTTTAAAAAGGTTTATTTTTTCTATAAACCTACGAATAAGTGTTTTTCACATTCAAATTTAATTTTTTGTTATTGCGTGTATTTAATACTTATTTTAATTGTCATATATATATATATATATATAATAAATAGTTTGATATTAATCTTAGCGTATATAAATACTGTATATACGGTATACCTACCTCTACACAATATTTTTCACATTGAAGTTTTATGATTGCATACATATATATTTTATAAAAATTATTCTTTAGTTAGTAAAATATATTTTTCGATAAATATTTTTGGCCTTTATAAGTTATAACCACGATCAAAAATTTACGAATATATTATTTCTAAAAATTAATTGAGTTCTTGAACTGAAAAAATTTTATAAAATAAGTTTGTGGAATAATCCATTAATAATCGTTGACCGAAATTTATATTTTAAAACTTACAAATGACTCACGATTATAACATACATTTTACAATTTAAAATAATTTTATAATAAAACTACTAAATTTTAATATTTTATATGACATCTTATTTACTCTCCATGCAGACATTTTAAAATCACAAATTTTCTTGTCTTTATTTTAATTATTTTATTTTATTTTTATAAATAAAGTGTCTTGAGCTACTATTATTATATTATTGATTCCGTCTGTTTTGCAGAATCATAGGTGATGAGCGTTGCTTATGACAAACTCGATTGTCGCAGTAAAAACTAATTACCGAAATAAAAATATAGTAAAACATTAGGAAGGAACTATGTAAGCGTATCATCATTTTATTTATACAAATTGTTATCATTATTAAATTAGTAATTAATATTATTTAAGTGCATGTAGTATCCAAAATATCACAAGATGGTCCGAAAATTGTCGTCCACCATTCACTATTATTTGTTAGAATGCCTAAAAAAAATATTAACATTGCTACTACAAAACCACAAATAGAAAACCATATATGAAAGATCCCAAAACAAAAATTGGATACGCCTCTTTCTCCTTTCAAATGACATAAATACGCCAAAGCGCTATTTAGTGACCAAATAGCACACAATACTGAAACGTATTTACTCCGACAACGATATCCAATTGGAGGTGTGAAATAGGCCAGGAGTACCGTTATCCAGGGAAAAAGTATTGATGCAAAAGCAGTAAACGTAACGGTAAAACGTTTGTGGTTTCTAATTTCATCGTCATTGATCTCTTTCAATGTTATTGGTTGTAAATCTTCCATTTCTATCTTAGGATTTTTAACAATTAGATGCCCCCAAATTATTCTCTTGTAGATTGATGGAATTGTCCAGGATAATAGTAATGGTATGTATGGCCAATCCTCACAGACATTAGTTTGGTTTGTCACCCTAGATATTCCTGCTATTATACCAACAAATATGTAATATGCTGACACTAATGATGATAATCTTTCTAGGACAGAAGCTCTTGCTGTGCATCGTTTTATCTCTGCAGATATACGTTGTTTTTCATTTGGTTCCAGTATCTTTCCATGAATTCCGACAGGTCTGACTTTAATTGGATATAGCTGTCCGTCGTTTTCGCATTTAAAATAATCTGACGGAAGCCAGAATAAACATTGATCTGTCTTATTGCTACCCACATTGCAGGAATAAAATAATCCTGTAAATGGACAACCAAGACATCGTAATACCCATGCTAACTTTTCTGTCAACTTCTCTTTCGGGGTGTCACCCACTATTGCAACAGCAGGTAGGCATCCCAATATATATTGAGGAATAGGATTTAATAATTTACGTATTAAATATAAACTATCTTTTATCTCCATTTTGGAAGAAAAGCAAAATAAACATAAGATTATTATTGTAATTATTGTATTATTATATTTCAAGATTAAATGAAAATGATTATACGCTTAAAAGGTCGGAAGGCATAGTAGAAGCGCATTTTATATTAAAACTTATTTATAATTTCTTTTTTTTTGGATACGTTTTTGTTTGTATATTGTTTATACCATGTAACTACATAGAAAATATTTGTAATGGCTAATTTACATTAAATTTCGCTCTATTGTTTTGCTTTAAATCAATGAAAGCGAAAGTATGATCCGCCGTCGTTGTCTAACAATTTCGGTTTCTACAGTTTATTATTTTTGACCATATTTGAAATTTAACTTTTATTAAGTAAACGTAAATGCAAAAAAAAAAATACAAAAATGTAATAAACTTAGTACTATCTGTAAGTATAGAAACTTCCTTGGGAGACCGCTCTTCGTCAATTATTGGACCAATTCAAATAAATAAAGCCACATGGATTACATGGCTTAATCGTCTAACATTGAAGAAATCACAAAAAAAAATTAGCCAATCAACTCATTATTAACGAATTGATCAACGTTGAGCAACAAAACAAAATAAAGTTGAATGACGGAATTTCCTAATATGTTTGTATTTTTTTTTCTTACAGTATTTTGCATTATTATTGTAGTTATTGTTGAAATTCTGTAAATTTCCGAAACTAGGTGAACCGAGTGTAACTTATGCAGAAGTGCAGAACCCTGATCGCGGCACTCATTTACTCACTACGTTCTACACATACATTCAGTTATACGAAACTCGATTGATGTATCTTTTATATAAATCTTGGCAAACTTAATTTTATGGACGGCAATTACAAAACAGCTTCATTTGCAACGTCATACTAGTATTTGGTTTTAAACTTTAATAGTCAATTTAGAACGTGTTCTAAAAATATTCTTGAAACAAACGTAACGTGAAATATTTAATTTCAATTAATCGTTTATCTCGTAAAAAAAAAAAAAAATTAATTTCAATTAAAAAAAAGGTAAACATGACATGAAAACGAATTATTTCATGAAAAGCTTTATATACTTTAGGGATAATATCGCCGTGTATGGTTTGGAAATGATTATTTTTATCTTCAATTATGAGTTTCATAATTATCTTAGCGTATATACATTATTATCAGAATTCAGAAATAACAAAAGTACGTAATATTTTCACATAATATTGACGGCGCTAGCTTCAAAAACTATTTTTCATCTCGCTTTATTTAAAATAAACAACTTTAATTTATTTCTTAAATACATAATAATTTAATAACTAATATCAAATTTACTAACAATACCAAGCTGTTTATATTTTTCGAACACCTTCATATTTCCTTCATGATTACTTTCTAAACTATTATTCCATCCTTTAATAATAAAGGAAAATGATTTTGATGATACACGATTCTTCCAATTATTAAAAAATTCTTCTAAATCTTTCGGGACTAAGTGTGAATCTAAACAAATAATTAATTTTAATTTATAAAAATTTTTTGATGAATATTTTGCCAAGGTCTCCAAAAGGTCTTTTTCACTTAATAAACCAGTAATATATTTAGTTTCAATACTTTCTAATTGTTGACAATCATTAAGAATTATTTTTAATGTTTCTATTTTATCAAAATTAAATAAGGTATATAATGATTTCAAATTCGGACAAAATTTAGCTATAGCTAAATTTAATGAATCACTACTATTAATATAAAATTCTACTAAATTTTTTCCATTATTTTCTAAAAATTTGATTAATATATCATCATCTGGACATGAATGAGGAAATTTTAATATTTGTAAATATGGAAAAATAACACATTTTAGATTGTTGTCAAGTTCGCTAAAATTATGTTTATAACGAAATGATAAAATAAGTTCTCGTAAATTTGTGAATCTTGTAACAAATGATAATAATGGTCTGAACCTAGTATAATATTCACACCCATATATTTTTAATTTAATTAAAGTATTCGAATGTTTTGATAATGAAGGTATAATATCTGTCCAATCAGCAATACCATACGTTTGTGATAATGATAAATATTTTAAATTATTTTGTGAACAAATTAAATCTTTTAATCCATTTGAAACCACACTTTTAAATTCCATATTTAATGATTGAATATTATAACATATTTGAGATAATTTATAAAAAAATGCGGATTTAACATCGGTACTACAACTTAATTTTGAAAGATTTGTTAAACATTCTTTTGCTCCAGGATAACGTAAAAATGATAAATTAACAGTGTTTGAATTATTTGTATAATAAGATAATTTTTTCACTGAATAAATTTTTTTCACAAACATCTTGATTATTTCTTTTGTCAGATATTTTTGACTTCTAAAAACATCAATAATCACTTGACCAATCGCATGAATTGATAGAACTTTGCAAAATGATACATAGTCAAATAATGGAGTTTTTGAGATTTGAGTTGAATTAAGAATTCTCTTCTCAAGCAAATGATTTTTTGAATCATTAGGAAGACAAATTATCAATGTATTAAGAATTTCCGGTTTTACTTTCAATCGGTGTCGACCATAGGTAATCGACTTGCCAATCCAAATATTTCTCCACAATATTCTAACAGAAACTTCACACCAAAGACGATTGACTAATAAGCATGAATATAAAGAGACTTTATCTTTCTCTAAATACTCGAAAATTTCATTAAGGCAATCGACAGGAAGTTGACAAGGCATTTTTGAATATTTTGGATTTAATAAAAAAAGAAGAAAAAAAAAAAAAATTAAAGGTTCCATTCAAACACGATTTACACTTAACCGTGTTACACTATTACAAACACTTTTATTGTAAATTTACTAATATAGATAGTATTATTTTACCGAGTGTGATATTTACTGTAGATCAATGGTTTACATACTTTTTGAATCGAAGAAGGAAAGGTCTAGACCAGTCCACTCCTTATTCCATACTAGGGGCGTGACAAATTGATTGTACTAGATTTAATAAATGATAAACTTAACTCTAAAGGTGAAAGCATGGTAATACAAATCGTATGATTCAAAATAATACGTTATGATGATTTACATTCAAGACGTTCAAATGTTTTTAGCTAACTAATACTAATAATTAATTGAAGAAGATTATAAGCTAGAACAGAGTTTTATTCATTAGACACAATATAGAATTTACAAATAATAGGGAAAACAATATAGTATAGCAACCCTTACAATTGAGTTATCTAAGTTTTTTCGTAGCGAAATATCGTAAGTAAAATTCTTTTTAGGCGATTCAGCGGTTCTTTTTTTTATGTTTTTCTGATATTAATTCTTGACTATACGACTTAGACGTACTTTTTAGTTTTTCGTTCCGGTGGGTTTAATTTCTCAGATTATAGTTCTTTATTATTATTTGTAAGTAGCGCGGAATTGAAATCATCCATTTTTTTTAAGAGACGAATTTCGCATGATAACAGTTTCCGATTTTTGTATCATTTAAATTTATTAAATTTTAAAACTTTCTTCTTACTTTTTTTTAAGAAAATGGGATCAGGATTCAATTAACGGGTTTAGGCTTCTTGATGTATGTTTCGTTGTTGCAAAATTTTCAATTTTTTTTTGTGTATTTAAATCATATTAATATTCATTCCTTCATTTTATTAGTCCGAAGTCCGGATATCCGTCCGACACGTAACGACGTACAACTATAAAACCTTAACAGCACTTCGAACTTAATAATAGTTTCCGTTTTCTAGTATTTTGTTTTTATTTCATCTGCGATATCATAATATTTAATCCTTTTTACTAATACAGTATACCTAATATGATGCCATCGTTCTGAAGATGACGATAATGATTTAATTTAGATTATTTAAATAATTATTTAAAAACGATAATTTTGTAACATCAACATTTTAATCTTTAAAAACTACCGAGTATCAATATTCACACTTTAACTTCATTAATATTACATCATAATACATTATGATTATATAAATACAAGACTGTTGCTAATTTGCTCTCCGTGCGAAATCACCCAAGTGATTTCACCCATATATAAATTTATTAAAATCAGGTGATTTCACCCATAATAAATCTCACGTATAAAAAATTAAAAAATTTTATATGAAAAAATTTTTAGTTTAAGTATATAAAAAATAATTTATATATAGTTTTAATTATTACTAATTTTTATTATAACCTAAAAGACATTTATTGTTAAATCTATAATCTCGTTACATCATATTATGGTTGTGATTTTACAGACTCTTGATGACCACCACCGAAGTCAAAAATGGAATGAACCAAAGATAAAATTAAATGAGATCAAAATAAGATTAAATGAAACCAGAAATAAAAATATACAAGATTAGAATGAACCAAAACAAAGATAAAATAAATGAGAAGATAAATGAATAACCAAAATCGAAATAAAATCAAAATCAAATATAAAGTAAAAATGAAATCACAAAGTCAAAGTATAAAGAAAATGAAAAATCTCAATCAAAAGAAAAGGAGCACAAGAAAAAACCCAAAAAAGAAACCCAAAAAAGAAACCCAGAGAAGGAATCAAAGAAACCCAAAAAAGAAACCCGAAAAGAAACCCAAAGAAACCCAAAAAAATCCAAGAAAGACTCAAGGAAGAAACCCGAAAGAAACCCAATGAAACCCTGAAATCCAAAAAAATGATCTGAGAAAAAAATCCAAAAGAAACCAATGAAACCAGAAATTCAAAGAAGAAACCCAAATGAAAAATGAAAAGAAAAAAAACTAGACAGTTACTGTATAGAAACTAGACGTCTGAAATTCCGAAAAACTTGAAACTTCATTTACTAGGGTACTGATGAAAAATCTACAAAAAAGAAAATGAGTAATTAAGAAACAATGGCAAATAAAAAAAAACAAATATTATAAAAAAAAAGCTTACCATCAAAAGTCTCATAAGAAAAGCAATGGCGTTAAAGAACGTTAAAAGACATTAAGAATGTTAAAGAACGTTGAAGGATAAAGAATATCAA